ATATAAGCCCTTAGGACCACTTAGTGTGTCAAAAACACGAGCTTGTTTGCTATGGTCCCGGAGCAACAACTCCTTTTCTAAATATAGGAGGAAAAAAGGACGGAGGGAGAATTTGGGAAAAAGAAAAGGATATAAATGAGATGAAATTTTACCCCTTTTGAAAAAGTACCACAAAACAGTAACATAGTCCTGGATCACAATAAAAAAATCCCAAAAACACATTAAAATCCAAGGTCACCCCTTTGGGGGATCATCCTTATTGAGAATCCCCCATGGGGTCATTCTCTTGCAGCAAATCCATTAAGAGCGTAACTATTTCATAGGCATCTAGCTAGGTGTTTTCATTTGTGCATAGGTTGTTGGCTACCGGTAGGGAATTCCACTTATAATTATAGGCAACCAGGGATATAACAACTGGATCTAAATAACAAGGTCTAATTGCAAGGTGCATCACAAAACTATTTATCCCGTTATGAGAATATGACCCTTCTAAGTGAATCCTTCCTTTACTCCTTAAATACTGAACTCTCCTAATTACAAAAATTAGGCCACGTTCCTTTAATGGAAAAACATTTTCTCCTTTAAAAGGAGAAAATTTCTCTCATGTTAGTGACTCAAAGCATAAGTGGGTCCCACCTTAAATTTTTTTCTCTTTCCACTATTTTGTGGGACCCACTTATACAATGTGTCACTGACATGAGAAATATTTTCTCCTTTAAAAGGAGAAAATGTTTTCCCTCCTTTAATATGTATCTTACCAAAACCAAGTAATTCTTTGTTTAGTTTTTTTAGTAGTTTAAGATCATGTTTAAAGAATGTATCATCATTGATTTCCCAAAGATAATTTCGGTTTTTACACCTGCACAGCAGTTTTTCATTCCTCATAACAACAATGCAAGAAAAATGCCATTTCATGTCGGTAATACTTGTCAACAACATCATGTTGATGTTGTTGACAAGTATTAGGAACATGAAATGACATGTTCCTAATACTTGTCAAACATACAGAATTTGCTTTTAGTTAAAAATTCTTCTATATTACAATGGTCCTCAAGTAAGACATTTTTCTTTTTCTTTGTTTCCCCTATAATCTATCTGTGTGTGTACATATATATCTTTGGATTATTTCAGACTATAACAGCAGCAACCTTCTCAACTGTTTCCTTCTTTTTTTTTCTTTTATTAATTTGTCTAATCAAAGGTTCATACTAAATTGGAGGAAGATCAATTTAGTCACAGTTGAAAGGTATGATTATCTAGAATCTATTATGAGGATATTGCTGAAAAGCGAAGTGAAATTAAGGTGTCTTCATCCACTTCAATATAATGGTCCTCTGCAAAATAATGGGGGAAGAGAAGGCAAACCAATTAGCAATCAGTTGAGTCTTTTAGAAAACTAATGAGCTGTTGGGGTTCCTATAGATATTGTTAAAGAAGGTGATCATCATGTTATCGATCCACTAAAGCAAACATGAATAACTCAATATATAGAACAGAATTAGTAGGAGTCATTGTGCTCAATTGGTATAGGAATGGTTCTGCAATTTTTCTAGTTCCAAGCGAATTATTTATCACCTCAATATTTAAGTAAAGGAAGAAGTTTTATAAGGTTTTGTGCCTTTTATATTTCAAGTTGAGATTTATACTTTTTCTTCTTCGTGATTTTTTTTGTTCTTATATGTTTTGTGCAATTTTAGCACTAAATAGTAAGAAATTAATGCAAAAAATATTAGGAAAATCATTCTTTTTGTGCTGCTGGAAAAGAAAATCTCTCATGCAAAAAAACACACATTATATACTAAGAGTAGTATATAATTATAATATTAAAACTGCTTTTTTTCTCTCTTTCCTCAAATATTGTCGGCTGACGTGGCGAAGAGAAAAAAAATAATTTTACTATTATAACTATGTGCTACTCTTAGGACATAGTTATTTTTTTTTTGCAGGAAATAATTCTGTAATGCAACATAACATAAGAAAAATGCAACCCAAAATATTAATAAACAGTTAATTTTCCCATAGGTTTTTTTATAGTTCAGTTTCTAAACTATTCTTATATAGTTTATGTATATATTCCTACTTTCATCATATTTTCCTAATCTATTTTCAAGCTTATAGATGCAAAATCATCATTTGCAAACAAGATTCATTTGATTACTCCACCAATTTGGTTGAGCCTAGTAGGAACGCTGGTTAAATTGGAATAATTTCGTGCCAGTTGATTCAGGTACATGGTAATAGCAAACAAACATGTTGCAGGCCAAAACTCAAAACTCAACTTGGTTACAGAAAGTGTGATAGTTCACCCCTGAAAGAGTCGTATGTATACATTCAAACTTGTACAATTTACTATACGAGTTAAACTAAAGTAAAAACAAGTTCTGGTTTTTATTATGCAAGCTAAAAGTCTTCGCATGAGTTTAGTTTATTTAGATGTCAAGATAGTCAAATTCTAAATAACTCGTAAAGAGTTTGGCTCTTTCTCGTTCCTAATAATAATCTTATATAGTACATTATAATTTATATGGTAAAGATTCAAAGTAACAGACAAACTAAATGTCAAAATTAACAAAAAGTGATTACAGACATACAATGTAACATCCCGAGCGCTGACGAGGGCGGAGAGTGATCGTCAGTGCGAAGAGGTACGAACAAGAAGCGGCTCGTGACAGGCTTCCAGCAGGGGTTACATGCATGAATGAATCGAATCGACACCCGAAAGAGAGGGATTCCAAAGGCTGTGCAGGTATGAGACTGCACAATTTGGGATAGCTTATAAGAATTAATTTGTACTATCTATACTAACAAGATGCATCTGCTTTTCGGTAGCCCTGATCGGAAGAACTCCACAGTTAAGCGTGCTTGACTTAGAACAATTCTGGGATGGGTGACCTATTGAGAAGTTTTCCCGGGAAGTGTGCGAGTGAAGAAAAAGTACACTGAAAAGTCTCGTGTTAGTATGTGGGGATAGTCATTAATTCTTGAAGCGGTCAGGCCTTACATACAAGGATACAAATGTTGGAAAAAAATTGTATTTTTTAAAATATATTTACTTTTTCACTGATTATCCGACTAATTTGGTTCAACCAATGCCGGATTTATTATAGAGGATGGCTCTTCCAAAAATTGCCATGAGCCCTCAATCAGATCTGATTCCCTGCAAATACATTTCTTTCCCTGACCCGGTTGATTATCATAATATTAACAAGGAAATGGTAGTGGTCCAATTTGTGAAGGAACTGATTCATTATGTCAGATAGTGTCCAATATTCGGAAGAGAAAAGTATCTTTTATGCAAAGGCTGTTTGATTATTCCCTAGTAGATTATTGATTGAGCTTGAAATAATTACCAATTCATAATGATTTTTTATTTTATTTTATATTTTTTATTCCTATGGGTATCCTGATCGATTTGGACGAGACTAATCCCCTACGTGATTTAGAGGGTGAAGATTTTTATCATTGACCCAAAGTGCTTTCTCTACTAATAGAACCAGATTTTTCTATATACACAGAAGAGATAAAGATACCCTTCAGCAAGAGGGTCACGTGGGAGGACCAGTTTGTTTTCCTGTGTTGTGATTCTTAATGACACCACCAACTTGTAATGTTCTAACATCATAGCTTATGATGGCATTTTGGAATAGCCTCTAAGCTAAAAGAAGCCTTTATCTATTCTTTTCAAGCACAATGAGAATCGATCAAATAGATGGATGAGAAAAAGAAGAATGAGATGTCAATTTGGTAAAAGCATAAATTCAAGCCTTTTTCCTCCCCCTTTATTTCTTCTCCTTTTGTGGTTTTGATTTGAAGCCAAGTCCATTAGTGATTTTGTTTCTGCTCTTATCTAATTTGCTTTTTGCTTGAAAGGGTCAAACTCAAAACCATAAAACAAGCTACCTTTTCTGTGTTACTGTTTACTTATTGAGTGTGCGATTAACCAAATAGAGAAAAGAAAATAAAAACTAATCAAATTGAATAACACAGATTCTAAAATATATTTATCAAATAAAAAAATGGAAAACAAAGACTCTCATATAATACTTCTTTTTTAAAAATATATAAGTTAATCCCAAATTGTCAAATAACTAATCAAGTTTCATTAAGTCATAACATAATTTTGGATACAGATTAAGTTATTACTAAGGAAATAAAAAGGTGGGGAAGCCAAATCTTATGTGAAATCTTAAAAAGAAATTGCAAATGATTGCAAAGAGGATAAGCCAACTCGTAAAGCATGTGGACCTCAAACACAAATCAAATACATAAAATTCCCATCACTCAGATCCGAGTTCTTTGAGGAGTGATTTGGAATGAAATTGGAGGGAGACACGAAAAAATTATCATCTTATTATTTCTAAAAAGTTCAAAGAAAAAAAGGAAGAGGAAACTGAAATGTTACACTCAAAATTCAGAAATTGATAAATAAAAGATGGATTTATTATCAATTCCAAAAACTACACAATTCTAGGGGTTAGTAGAATTAACCAACGCTGTTTTTGGTAAAATTCATATAATAAAAAATAGGGTTCGTTTTTTCTACAGCTCAAAACGACGTCGTTTTGAGACGAAAATCAAGACATTTTTATAATTATAATTTATTTTAATGTTATAATAGTCTATTTCATTATAATTATTTTATTTTTTAACCCAAAACGACGTTGTTTTGAGAACGAATGTAAATAACTTATCTACATTCACTGTAGAAATATTAAAGCCTAAAAACTAAATAAAATTCCTCAAATATCTTTTATTAATTTCCAAAATTTTCAAAATGATATAATTTTAGAATTGATGAAAATAATATTTTCTTATATTGATAATAAACCCATCAAAATTAGTGGGCATGGACTAAAGTCCATATATCAATCCTTATGCTTTTGCATACCAATTATTATCATATTTATTTTTAGTGAAAATACCAATTATTATATTGAAAGCTATCAAAACAACCTCATTTCTTTTCCTATGTTACCAAATTACCTCAATCACAAAGGTAATAAGAACCGCCATTTTGGACAAAACAAGAACAAGTTGTAAATCACATACAACGAAAGGTCGCATTCAATCTTCGTTTTGCTGAGGATTACTAAGTTGAAGAGCTTTCACAGACACAGACAACCCAAGAATCGTGTCTGATACAATACAAGTGCAAAATCTAACTTCAACCACCAAACAAACTAAAGTCTAAAACTTTGCCACCGATTCAGAGACCCAGTTGCCGGAAGTCCCATTTGCCGGTGAGTTCGGTGAGATTCCGGCTAAGAATGGAGGTGGAAAGTGAAAAATCGGGTCCTAATGGGAAAGTTTGGAGCTTTTGTAGTATGCCATTTTGGCAAACAACTCATGCTTCTTCATCATCTTCTTCAATATCTTCTTCAGTGCATAGTGTTCATCAGCAAAGCCAGATTCTTCAGTCTCTTGATAGATCAACTCATCAGCCTTCAAGCACCGTTTCTTCCGTGGCCAAGTCTCTGCTTCCTACAAGGAGAAGGCTCCGTCTTGATCCTCCCAACAAGCTTTACTTTCCATGTATGCCTCTCATCAATCTTGTTTGTTTATTTTTATTTTTATTTTATTTTTTTGCCATCTTTTTAACCAAACCAAGGTGTGGTTTTTGTGTCTTGTTTCATTTAATTGTTTTGTGAATGCATTGTTCATGGTTAGGATGACTAATGTACCCATTTGTGAGTTCTGTTTTATTCTCCTGATTTAATATAATGTCCATTTTGGGTTAGTTATCTTGTAAAGGGTAGAATCGTGAATATGTTTTGGAGTTTCCATTATATGTTAGCTTTGTCTCCTCTCTGATTTATGTGACTTTGTGTTTTGAAGATGAACCTGGTAAGCAAGTTAGGAGCGCCATCGCAATTAAAAACACTTGCAAATCTCATGTAGCTTTCAAGGTTCGGTGTATATATCTACTATTGTTTGTGTTCATATGTTCTTGGATCCAGAAAATGGTATTTGACACATAATTTGCTATGTTACATACACGAAAAATTGGATACTCATTCTGCATAGTTAGCTGGTCGTGTTGGAATCTTGCCAACACCCTTTGTCAATATGTGTTGACATTGTTGGGAAATATTTATCTGTGTCAACTTTCAACCTGCAACATGGAAATATCGGGTCAGAAAAGCTTCTTGGCAGGACTTCTTCAACAACTGTGACAAGACTGGAGAAAAATTTCTTGAGAAATTTGAAATATTTCTGCAACACTAGGAATTTTCATTAAAACAGATTCAAAATCTTAAGAAATTTTGCTATAATTAGATGATGGCTGGAAGTGTAATATGTTGAACTAGACCATCTTCATGTTTGGGTTTCACTGGATATATTTTTAGGATTATGAACTCCTATATTAATGTTGTGTATTGACTATAGTCAAAAATACTTGTATCAATTTTGTTTCATGCTATATTTATTGTCTGTCATGGTTACTACTAATAGTTACATTTTCTTTTGTCTTAGTTTCAAACAACTGTACCCAAGAGTTGTTATATGCGCCCTCCAGGCGGTATTATTGCACCTGGTGAAAGTATAATTGCAACTGGTAATTTATCCTTGTAAACTAGTGTTAAGCAGAAGTAGTATGCTTGCAAGTTGGTGAATTCTCATACAGTTGTGTCATGTATTTGGCAGTATTTAAGTTTGTGGAGCCACCAGAGAACAATGAGAAACCAATTGATCAAAAAAGCAGGGTCAAGTTTAAAATCATGAGCTTAAAAGTGAAAGGAGAAATGGACTATGTACCGGAACTGGTAATGTATTGTTGGCCCTTTCCATGGTGTCTGGCATCAGCCTTCCTTCATACTTATCCATAATGCTTTCAAATACCAATCACAGTTGTGTCCTGCAATCCTTCATGCAGTTTGAAGAACAAAGGGATCAAGTAGCAGTGGAGCAAATTTTGCATGTTGTTTTTCTGGACCCTGAACTCCCTAGCCCTGTAAGACTAATATATCTCAAATATTTCACATGATCTCTACCATTTTGTGTGGAAAGTTATAATTTTAAATATGGTTTCTCAAAGGCCCTGGATAAGCTTAAACGGCAACTGGCTGAGGCTGAGGCTGCACTGGAAGCAAGAAAGAAGCCCCCAGAAGAGACAGGTCCTCGTATAGCCGGGGAAGGACTTGTTATAGATGAATGGGTTAGACACATTTTTCATATTTTTTTCTTCCCGTTTGGTCTAGCTTGTGTTGGAATTGGATGATCTCATTTCATTTTATCTAATTCACATTCCTTGTTTTGTGTGTAGAAGGAAAGAAGAGAAAGATACCTGGCCAGGCAGCAGGTTGAAGGGGTTGATTCAATGTAAAGTATTATATATATATATATATATATATATATATATATATATATATATATATATATATGTCGTGTCCACGAAACAGTCTTTTTGCATATATGCAATGGTAAGGTTGTGTACAAGAATTACCCTCACCTCACCAACTCTAGTTGTGGTCTAATGGGGAGTGATTTTTTTCTTTTTTGGTCATGTCCTTATTGTCCTAAAAAAAAAAGGGGGAGTCTGGAGTAACGGTAACGTTATTCCTTTGTGACTAAAAGGTCATATGTTTGAATCCGGAAAACAGCTTTCTTGCAAATATGCAAGGGTAAGGCTGTATACAAAGATTGTCTTACCCTTGCTAGTTGGGATTTAAAGGGAAGTGGTTTAGTTTTGGTCCTTATTGTCCTACAATTTTATGTTCAGAAATGAATTCCTTGGCCACTGATCTGTCAAATGTAGCGAATGAATTAATACTATGATTGGTGGTACTTAATTGTACTTTTGCATCAACTCATAACTTTTAGATATCTAAGCTTGTCTGTTTGAAATGAAATTGATCTTCGCAGAACTGATGTTTTATTTTCATGCAACTATTGTTTTGGTTGTATTTGCCTTATATTATATGCTGGTGTAGCCTCTTCTGTTATGCTCTTACATTTCTCTTCATCTTACAGTTATGCAGATGTAAAGAACACATCTAATTACTTTTAATTATGTTTCCATAAGCAAGAAGTAAAATTCCATTTTCGATTTTATTCTGTGTTAGTGCTTTGCCTTCTTTGTCCATGCTCTAATGACGCATGTAGTTTTGTGTGTTTTATACAGGCTGTTGAAGGAACAAAACATAGAAATCATTTTCCTTTCTTATTAGTTTTCACAATAAACAATTGCCTGATTGAGAATCCACTGAATATAACCAGCAACTAAAAATAGTAGTCAACTCATCATAACATTAGTTCACAAAAAAAATAGTAATAAATAAAGGAAATATTATTTCTGCAGTTGTGGTTGAAATAAAGATACAAAAAAACATTCTCTCTCGTTCCACCAAACCATTATCTCTTATCTCTTGTTGTGTTTGTGGTGTGGAGTATTATTTTTGCCACAGCTGCAGAAATAATACTCCCATAAATAAAACAAACGATACCAAAATAATTTCTTTAAAAATTATCTTTACATCGGTTTTTGTGGAGTGGGAGGAAGAATTATTGATTAGGTGAGTGAGAAAACAAGTATGTAGCTTCCAAGGAGATATGGCAACATGATTATAATCTCCTTTCACTTTCTTTGTTTTTAGCAACAATGGGAATGGGATGCATGTTATGTATGATTCAGAAAACAAGATAAGCTTCCCATAATATGGTTACAAGATGGAAGCCACTCAATTTCCCATAATATAGGTATGTTAGTATGTGTTGCCTTCTGGTTTTGCGTTGCAATATGACATAAGTCAGAGATTTTATCATTTTGTCTAATTAAATGCCAAGAGCTTTGTTGTTAGAATTTGTTAGACATGATATTACAATTTGGATTTGGATTTGGTGTTTCTCATCAGAAGAAGTTATCTATTGGAATTTCAAAATAATGTCATTTTGAGTTTTAAGAAAATGGAAAAATTTATATTGTAAAAGAGAAACAAAATTTCCAAAATATTATGTATTTTTTTCCCCAAAACCCTAAAATGACGTTATGCTTAGGAAAATATCTTCAATAGTCACTACATCTTTTACTAAAATTATAAAGAAAGAAAAAAAGTAATACAACATATTTTACTTATTTTATTCATCCTTATGTCACCTAAGTCTTATTTTTTCCTATTTTTAATAAAGGACTATTTACTTCTATAGCATTGAAAATATGCTCCATTTTTGGGTTGCATGATATAATTTCATCTCCAAAATCATTTTTCCTTTACAATTTATATGGTCTTCATTTTTTTAACATTTATTTTTTACATAAAAATAAAAAATTTACGATAAGAAAAAAAGCTTGAATATTATTTACCTTTAAATTTTAAAAAAATCTTGTATGGAAAGACTGTTGGAATTTTTTAATTCCTCTAAACCTTTTGGTGATAACTATCACCTACAAGCCAAGATCTATCATACCAAATCATAAAGAAATAAGAACAACATAAAGGTGGAGGCATACCCGTCTCCATTGCAGCGGAATAACTTTGATCTTGTCTTTTGGGGTTTGTAGTCTTCCTCAGTCAAATCACCCTAAAACCGAATTCCTTAGTGTGCCGTCTCTCTCTTGATGGGGAAGAGAAACTAGGGTTGTTTATTTGACGTATTGGGGACCATAACCCTTATATAGTGTTTTTATCTTTATTGTTGGGCCAATAAGCTCCCATTATACCTAGTTGGCCCAACACCGGTATCCACTCATTCAGCCCATACTCACTTAGGAATCTATTTAGGAATATTTAACTGATCACTTTAATTTACCCAATATATATAAATAGCACAATATAATTATTAATATAATATGTGACCCACAATAATTATTAGAAAATTAGAAATATAATTTTCTAACAATCTCCCACTTGGGCCACATATTAACTTGAGATAATTATATCATATATCTTTAGTGCGCAACTGTATGCTATTTTTCTTTAGATTCCTCCTTAGATACAATCTGGTCCACCTCCTATATCAATATGAGATCATGGCGGCTTTTGTCACTTTCAAGCGTAACTAAACCTTCCATGGTCATCGCACCAATATATTCAATGACATAGATCAAGTATGGATGAGTGGCATGGAAATTACATGCAATGTGATCTTACCATGCCTATTTCCAACTGGTCCTACTTTAATCTTTATGAGATCAATCCTAAATTTTCTGCATACACAAAGCAGAAATACAAGCACAAAATTTAATACATTCAGAGGGAAAATAACATTGAATTCTTTATTCTGCAGAAAATTTAATCTTCATAGAACACTAACATAAAGAACTCCCACTAAACCGTAGTGTCATCGAACAAAACAACACCCATATGAGCAGTATGCTCGTGAAAGACCTTAGGCACTAAGCCTTTAGTAAGCGGATCCGCAAGCATGAAGTTCGTCCTTATGTGTTCTATGGAAATCTGACCACTCTGAACTCTTTCTTTAACAACCAGAAACTTTATATCGATGTGCTTCGATTTTGAAGAGCTTCTGTTGTTGTTGGAGTACAACATTGCTGACCTGTTGTCACAATAAATCTTCAGTGGCCTTTCAACACCACTCACTATATGCAGCCCTGTGACAAAGTTTCGCAGTCATACCCCAAGGTTGGATGCCTCAAAACAAGCTACAAATTCAGCGGCCATAGTAGAGGAAGCTACGAGTGTATGTTTAATACTCTTCCAAGAAATAGCTCCTCCAGCCAACATGTAAACAAAACCTGACATGGATCTTTTACTATTTTGGCATCCAGCAAAATCAGAGTCAGTACATCCGACGATCTCTAATTGATCTGACCTCCGATATGTAAGCATATAATCTTTTGTTCTCTTTAAATACCGCATAACCCTCTTGGCTGCTTTCCAATGATCCATTCCTGGATTGCTCAAGTATCTTCCTAACACTCCCACTATAAATGCTATATCATGGCAAGTACAAACCTGGGCATACACAAGGCTTCCTACTGCCGAAGCATAAGGTACCTTTGTCATTTCTATCATCTCAAGCTTACCTTTAGGGCATTGGGCGAGACTAAACTTGTCTCCCCTAGATATGGGCGTATCTCCTGACGTACAATCTTTCATGCCAAATCTATCCAAAATCTTTTCAATGTAGGCCTTTTGTGATAACCGTAGGATACCTTGAGCGCGATCTCGAAGTATCTGTATTCCTAAGACAAAAGATGCATCACCAAGGTCCTTCATCTCAAAATCTTTAGTGAGAAGTTTATTGGTTTCATGCAATAAGCCTATATCGCTACTGGCAAGTAAGATATCATCAACATATAGTATCAGGAATATGAATTTACTCCCACTGAACTTGTGATACACACAATCTTCCACTAAGTTCACCTCAAAACCATAGGAGATAATAACCTGATGGAATTTGTGGTACCATTGACGAGAAGCTTGCTTAAAGCCATAGATGGACTTTTTCAATTTGCAAACCATAGACTTTGAATTTCCCAATACAAAGTTTTCTGGTTGCACCATATAAATTGTCTCATCACTGTTGCCATTGAGAAACGCTGTCTTTACGTCCATCTGATGTAGCTCCAAATCCAAATGAGCCACAAGCGCCATTATTGTCCAAAGGAGTCCTTCGTAGAAACCGGAGAGAAAGTCTCTTTATAGTCTATGCCTTCTTTCTGAGTGAAACCTCTAGCAACTAGACGTGCCTTATATCTTTGGATGTTGCCATTTGAATCCCTTTTGGTTTTAAATATCCATTTACAACCAATGGGTTTCGCACCTTTAGGCAACTCAATAAGATCCCAAACGTCGTTGTCTTTCATAGATTGCATCTCATCTTTCATGGCATCAATCCATTTATGAGCATTAGAGCTTTCTAAGACTTGTTGGAAGTTGATTGGATCATCTTCCTTCAAGCTTAAAATATTTTCATGCTCTTGAAGAAACACAATATAATCATCCGGAATTGCATTTCTCCTTTCCCTAGTGGATCTCCTTAATGGCACTTCTTGAGTTTGTTGAGTTTGTTCTATAGGTGGCATAGGGGGTGATTCATTATTGTCTTGACCCAAAACAATGTCAGGGACCAAAGCTTGTTCCATAACAATGTCATGAACAGGGACCTGATCATTAATTGCTTGTTCCGTAATTGCATCTTGAATGATGATAATATTAGGAAGAGAAATATTATTTTCTTCCTCATCAAAGACAACATTCCTTATTTTATCTCCCCCCCCCCCAAACTCAACATTCTCGAGGAATCTGGCATTTCCCGTCTCCAAAAAGGATCTTGTAGTGGGATTATAAAACTTAAAGCCCCGAGAGCGTTCAGCATATCCAACAAAATAGCAGCTGATTGTTCTTGAGTCCAACTTTCTTTCATTTGGCCTATAAGGCCTTGCTTTT